GTTAATCTGTTCAGGCAAGGGTATCGTGAGTTTACAAAGAGCGTGTGGCACAGGTGTAAATATCATGCATCTGGGGCAGGGTGCGTGGGGGGGGGGGGCACAGCTACTGTCGGTTGGGCGAAAGGACGGCCCTGGTCGGTGGTGCGACCGCTGCTGTGCAACAACAGCCACGTCACACGGCGTAGCACCTGGTAGCATATCACAAGCAAGCACCGCTACCGTCCGGCCGCCGGAGAAAGGTGCGGTGTGAATGTGAGGGTGCGGAGGGTCTCCGACTAGTTCCGCCGGCAGAAAATTGAGCGGAGACTGCGAGTTTTTCCGCCGTGTGGAGCGTGGTGCAAGTTGCATGTTTAAGTCATCGCAACGTTTTCCCAACGAGAGTCTCGGTGTGGTTGATGGGCAGGCTAGATGTATGAAGAGAGTTTGGGGGGGGGGGGCGGGGGGGGGAGGATGGCGTCGGAGTGAACGGGAATTCCACTCATTTTTCACAGTTGTAGCTTGCGGGGGGGGGCGGGGGGGGGATTTCGCTTCGATGTCCCTGCCGATCAATTTTGGGTGCATACATTTGATATTCAGGTAGATTGATGTTGTGGAGGGGGGACCTTTAGAAGAAGCCGGGTTATCTTGAGTGCATTCAATCCGCCTTCTCTTGAATGCGTTAGACCCATCTTAAAGCCGCAAAGCAAGCGGCCTTGTGCTCTCTGAATGATCAATCGGTTAGTTCCCTGGGAAACCACATAACGAGCACACAGCTTTACAAGCTAAACTTCTCGGGATAATGCTTTTTTTCCTTTTTTCGGTTATTGTCGATATTGTCGGATGCAGTTACTGTGCTCGTGGTGACAGCCACAAGGCCAAACCGGACTCAGTCATTTTTGATTGGCAGCTTCAGTTGAAGAACTCTTTGTTGAACGATTGGACTGAAAGCTGGGTACTCTTCGTCCTGTGATGACCTGCCGGGTGAGTCTCGAGCGTCTACTGCTGCCTTGGAGAACGACTAAACGGTCGGGATGCTTCTGGTGTTCAAGCGCTACTGGCACAGGCTTTCGGTTGGGTCGCGCTCAACGGAGTATTCCTATCGCTGCCTGATGCATACATGCGTGAGCAAGCACAGCGCATCGGCCGTCGTGACCCTCACACTTAGAACAAAGTAAGGGTTCGAGGGCGAGCCTGTTCCGCAAAATTGGTTGGCCCCCAAACGCTTGGAAGACACGATTCTTGTCGTGCTCATTCCAAACAGGCGTGCCCATTCCAAACAGGCGAGCGAGTCATCCCCGAGAACATCCCTCGGGTTTGAATAGGTTCCTTGCATGTACCCTGTTCAACATGATTCGGAACAGGTGGGTTGCAGTGGTTCTTACTGCGGTCCTACTGCAACAGCGGCAGCCACGAAAAACAACACATACATCGACAACAATTAACATCAACGACAACAACAGTCTGAGAAGTCCTGGAGAAAACCCAGCGTGCAAATGATGGATGCTTGATTGCTTGTCGATACGTTTCGCATTCCCGGGTGGGCCCCTTGTTTGGTGAGGCGCACACTTCGTGGCAAAAAAGACAAAGATGGATCAGTCTGACCTCCCAACGTCGCTTATATCTTGAAGCTAGACTACCTGTTACGTGTTTGCAACGTCCTTCACAACGGAATCAAGCAGGAGTGGAAAATGGGCGTTGGCACCAGAACGAAACGAGTACAATGGTCTCGCGATACATGATGCATTCAGTCGAAATCGATAGATATCTGCACCCCTCCTCCCGCGTCTCATGGTGAAGGTGTTGGACAACTAGGCCATGGACCATACAGAGGTGAAACCCGAGGACTTTCATTTGTGATAGTGTGATAGGGTTAGGCTATGTCGTATTGAACCCTTGAATCTCGACTTCATGACCAACGTTGAAAACATAGGGTCGGGGTCCCGTTGTTGTACTGTACATGCAACGAGAGGATGCTGGTTTTCTCGCGTTACCTCCTTTGGCTAGGGAAAGAGGTCCTTCATCGTATCATGCCGTAAAATCCTGTTGCTATGTTGGAGGTTCTCGAGATCACCATGACTTTTGAACAGAAACTACGCCTCGATAATATCTTAAAATGTATTTTTTGCGTTTAGACCACGAAGCGAAAGTAGTCCGGGCGGAGGGTACAAACGGGTTATTTTTAGCACGACTTTTTTTATTTTCCATCCCACTTGGAGTCCCGTACACACGTCTAACGTGAGTGTTGAGGGTACTCCATGGAGTCAGAGAATTTCGCTCTTGGCGCACAAGCCCATATCCAGGGTCCCGATGGTTGAGGATATAGCTTATATTAACCGTTTGAAACAACTTACGCGTAGTTTTTCGTTATTTTCTTTAATGGCCCCGCGAGCCCGCGCCTCCGTCCGCTCGTAAGACCTTGGAACGGTACCATCTGGCTTGAGGCAGAGTCCCGTCAAACGATGTGTTTTCGTTTTTCACGAAGACAAGACTGGGCTGGCCATTTTCAAGACATGTTCACAAATGTTGACCATCACCGTAACGACAGCTTGCGGCGGATACGCACAGACATGAAAAGACACAGAAGCCACCAGATGGATACGTATTGAGTGAAATGTTGAACTCCTCACGTCTGGTGCTCACACGTGCGCCATTTTGTCACGACCTTAACCTAAATCCGCCGCCACTTCCAACGTACAGCAGCGGCTTGGGGATAGCACTGGACAACAACCTCCCGCTCGAAGTGCTTCCCTGGCCCCTACTGCCTGGACGAGCTGCCGCCGTTAGCGTCGCCCCGTCACCCCCGACCCCAACACAACCTACAACGGACGGCGTGCCCCCTCTGCCCGCCGCTTCGGCTTCCGCCGACACTCCTTCAACGCCTCCATCGTCCTCATCTCGTCGCTTCCCGGCGCCGCGGCGCGACAGCCCACCGCCCCAGGTGTCCCCGACCGTCACGGCATAGTTCTTGTCGAGCTGCTGCATCAGGCCGCTGGGTTCGTCGAGGGATGGTCGTCGCCTCCCCCGCTTCCTTAGAATCGCGCCGCCGCCCCCCGCCGCCGCGGCGGCCGGCGACCCCCGAGTGAGCGTCGACGTGGACGACGTCCCTGCCAGCGAGGATGGGGGTTCCGTGGTATTGCTCAGGAGGGAAGGGAGGCTCCGTCGGTGTACCCAGCTCTTAGAAGACGGCCGGTGGTGCATCAGCGCCAAGCGTGACTCCGAGGGATGGGGTTCCTTGGTGTCGCTTCGTCGGGGGGATGACCGGTCGGGCGGGCGCCACCGATCACCAGGCCCACTATTCTCCGACAGGAGCAGCTGCGCCGCTGGCTCGTCGTTGGAGGCGACCGACGTGGGCGGGTGTTGCTGACGCAGCTGGAGCGGGGAACCAACCTTGTTCTCGAAGGAGTGGAGCATTTTCGCCGGCCGAGAACTGGATTTCTCGTTACGTCGCAACAGTTGCCATTCGCTGCACGGGCGGCTAGATGTGCCAGCCTCGTTCTCCTGCCACGTGCTGTTTGACGATCGACGGAAAGTGGGGGCGTCACAGGCCGGGTGTGGTGGTTGGTTCGGTTGCGTCGACAAAGATGTCTTGATTGTGAGTGTGGTGTTGGTCCGGCCGTTCGTCGGGCCGTGTCGCCAACGTCCACGGGAACTGTCTATTAACAAGGTGATTGGTCATTGGACCCGACCGAGATACGTGCGTGCGCGAACAAGTGCTAGACGTAGAGGTTTTTCAGAAAGAACAAAACCGAGAAGTGCAGTACATATGTCCGCCTTGATTTCGCGAAAAACTACCTGTGCCTTTTCTGCCCATGCTGTACAAAGTTCGTGTTCTATCTTGCTGTCGAATAGCAGCAATCTTTTTCCGCAACGCAGGTGTCCCACAATCGGCTAAACTTACAGTATCGATATTGAAAAAAATATTTGACCCTGTGTGAGGTATGTTGACTGGTGGCTTGAAAATCTCAAGACCAGGAGGTGCACCTTGCGCCCTCTGACAAACACCAAGTTGACTTACAGGCGGGCCTCTAGGGGGCCCACAGAATGCGAGCCCGGAGAACCCCAAGCAGGTGCCAGTGTGGTGCTAGTCCCGTGCGCACTGGTGTCGTCTCCTGTTGAGACCCCTAACTTGAGCTCCGCTGTCGTCTGTTGTACGAGTCGGAGATTTGGAGGAAAACGTCCGGGGATGAAGTAGCAGAGGGAATACTAGGAATCAGACTAATTCGACCGTGATCAGCGGTGGGAGCGGTTATTAACGGTTTCTAATGCCGCCCTTAGGACGTTGTTGTTGCGCTGATGTGTGTATTCCTTCAAAATGGCCGGCGTATTTTGTGGCAGAGTTCACCAGAGGACGATACACGATGAGTGCTTGCCTGCGAGACACGATTGCTGTCTACTCTCGACGATGGCGACAAAGTCCAGGCTTCCCCGGGATTGCCGAGGGCCCACTGAGAAGCCCCATCTGCTGCCACAACCCGCCCCATGTCCAGATCTCCGGAATTGTCAGGCGGTGGTTGCGGTCTTTTTGGGTCTCCACCTCCGCGTCCTAGAGAGCTTGCACGTACGTGGCCTCTGTTCAATTTCTCTACCTGAAAGCGATTTAGAGCACCAACCGACTTGGTCCTCCCGCCCTTTCTCCGTGCTACATCGGACCGACCCCTACCCGTAATCGCGGGGTCCGACTCTGTTGATCTTCGTCTGGTGGTGTTTGTCGACGAGGCTCCCCCGCTCGCTCGGCCCAACTGCCCACGAGTCTGTGGTTTCCGCGCCACCCCGGAAATCGATACTCTCCGCCGACCCCCTGGATGTCGTCGCGCTGGGTTCGCTTCTCCGCCTTTCCGCTGCCTTTGTTCTTGAGAATCTTCCACCCAGCCGCCGTTACGGCGATCGCCTGAGCTCGTTCTGGTACCCCCAACAGGAACACTCACCACGTCAGTTTCAACCTCCGTCAAGAATGTGCTCCCGTCAAAGGCACGGGAATCTCGCGCGGTGGCGCCACTGGAGTGGGCGAGGGGGCGGCTGTCCTTCCTTTTACCCTTTGGTTTACGGTTCCTCTTTTCCCTCAGGGCTATAAATCGTCGATCAAGGGAGTTCTGCCGTCTCATGGAAGCAGGGTCGGCCTCCTTTACCCAGCCGTTAACGCTCCGCATCGTAGCTACCCTTTTCCGCCTGAGAGTTGGCTTCACCCGCCGCCCCCCGCTTGCCCGCAACCGAAGCAAGGGCGATACCGCAATTTCTTGCGTTTTGGAACGCTCCCAACGACTGCCGGGTCGATACCCTCGTCGTTGTTGAACTGCTGTTGATCCTATCGATCTTTGCCGTCGATCTTGGAGGCTGACCGCATTCACAGAGATTGCCATGGGCGTCTGTTGCGGGATGCTGCCGCCGGAAGAACTTCTTCCGAGAACCGTGTTGTTCGTTCGTGATGGCCTGTCGTGAGGTAAAACGCAACGGGAAACGCAACCACAGATCATGTTTCACGAGAACCTGCAGCTTAGTAGTTTGCTTTCAAGTGTAACGTCTTACTTCTCGGCTTTCTCTCGCGCGCCAGTGAGAGTTTCTACTCTTTGAAGGACTGGAAAGACAACCCGTGCTCTTCAAGTCTTCGGGGTGTGGACGGACGAACGACAGCACTTCCAATTTTGTCCGTGCCTTACTCTTCTAGTACATACTGATATAGAATGATCACAAACCTTGTCGTGTTGAGTAGCCGTCCCTGGCCGCCGGGGTTTCCGCTGGCAAGGGCTTGACCCAGTCGCTGGGTTCAACGGCAGACATTGCGGGTGCGAGAGATTAAGCTAATCGTTTCCAGTTCTCCGGCTAAACCATACTTTCAAACGCGTTGAACATCTCGCGATGAAGGTGGTAAACAGGTTTCAGTTATGACTGACCGACAAGCACGTACTACAGTACATGCACCCAATAATTCGTCAAGAAGCGCGTTCTTCACATCGGTCGTCACTGCTGTTGTCAGGAAACGTTTCTTGGCCCAGCGTCTCGAAGCGCTCGATTGTTTTTTCGCGGACAGCCTTCGCCACCTAGAGAATAGTGAAAGGTACGATCAAGTCTAGTAGTTTAAACTCATTAGACGCATCGCACCAAAGAAGCAACATTCGTTGCATACCCTAGAATCTTGGCTCACCCGCTCGACAGACTCCCGTCGCAACGTACGTTCTTTGGGCGCGAGAGCTTCAATAGAGTCGTAGCCCATCAGCGGGTCCGCCAAACGATGCAAGGCGCTCATTGAAGTCGATTTAGCTATACGAGGCTGAGTCTTGTATCGTCCCTGGGTTCAAACCACGCAGAACAATGGCGCCGTGCGTGTTGGTAGAGCTGTGTACAACGTTTTTTTGCGTCGGGTTCGCTGGGGATGCACCCGACAACGAACAGCAGTAGCGGCACGTGGGAAGACCGTACAGTCATACAGAGTGGGGCGCAAGAAGACCCACGTGCTCCACGCTCTCTACAAGAATGAGAGTCCAGGGCATCTACAGTTTAGAAGCGCCTTGCGCATGCTGCAACGCCAAGGTCGTAGCAGAAGTGCACACACCATCTACTGCTGCAGCAAAGATGGGATCCGCACCTTTAGGACTCGCATTGTAGGATCAACGCGCGGTCGAATGTACACCACATCGGGGTCGCATCCATCGCCATCTGCTCGTGCAGGGGTTAAGCACGCACCCGTGGCTCGCACCACATCCTCTGCCCTCTTCCTCCTGTTCTGTTGTTCGGGGATCAGGTTCAGGAGGTATCGTAGATCTGGGTTGAGATGGGTCGATCTGTCACCCCCGGGAATGCTATTGCACCGCGACATGGCTTGCGCCCCGATGCGTGACTTCTGTGGCGGCTTTTCGTACCACAAACCGCCATTAGTCTGCCCCGGCCGTGATCCTGCCGCGCTCCTTTCCTGTTCTCTATCCCTCGCCCTGTCGTGTGGCTGGCCGCACACCGCGCACTCGGTGCCCTCGCCGGGCCCTCGGTAGCCACAAAGCCCGCACGTGACCATCGCATCAACGGGCGGTGAGACGTGCCTTCAAGAGCTCCCGCGGCAGCCTCTGCTGCTGTGAGAAACCACCAGGTTTCTGTATCGCGATCCATTCCTTGCGGGAGTGCAGCAATATGGACCGAGAAAAACGTGCCAACGCGCACCGCACGCGTATGCTGCTTTTTGTGGTCGAGTCGGTTCTGCTGCGAAAAAGAAAAATTGGCGACGGTTTCATGTGAATCGACGACGCCTCCAGCTCTTGTATCGCAGAAATCGTCCAAATCGTGAATTCGTGGTTGCTCGAGCTCAGAGTCTGGATCAGCTAGGTGAGAGAAGTGGGGCACTGGGAGATATTGGAAGGGTACCGAGCTTGGGTGGGTGCAGGCTCCATGCGGAGACGTAGATGTTCATTGCTCGGGTATTTCGCGGTTGTCCGCAGCAGAAGCTGTTAGTCTGCGGATAACCAGCCAACGCCTCTAGCCCTTGCGCCGAGAAGTTAAGAGCTTATGTGAGTGGCGCCAGGCACAGCCCGTCATGGGGCTGGCTTGGGAAAGCTGCCCTGATTGTGTAGGCATCCTTCTTGGGACGCAATGTGCCTGCTCTCCGATTCTCTCTTTGGGCCGCTACAGAACCACGCGTGCTGCAGCAAGCCCGGTGCGCTTGTTGGTGCGGTTGCGTTGGTCCTCACGCCAACACCTCTCCCAAAACCAAAGTCTTTTTCAGTCGATTTGATTCCCTCTCTTGGCACACAGCAGGCACACCATGGCGGACTACGAGCCTCGAGGAATCACCGTGCGCGATGTCGCCGCGGCTGACTTCATCAAGGCGTACGCCGAGCACCTGAAGAACACCGGCCGTGTCGAGCTCCCCTCGTGGTGCGACTTGGTCAAGACCGCTCCCCACAAGGAGATGTGCCCCTACGACCAGGACTGGTACTACATCCGCGCTGGTGAGAGGAGAGCGAGCAGCGTCAAGAGTGTGAGGGGGGGGGGGGGGGGTTGCCCCTTGGAGGATTGCTCTGTGCGGTGTTGGCCGCGTGGACAGCGTTTTTTTCACCCGGGAATCAGTTGGTGTCGTGTGGCCGTGCATTCGTGTTGACATCAGTGTACTGCTGTACCAACACGACAGCATCGTATGGTGGGTGACGTAGGATACCACACCCCCTGACCAGTCTTGGTCGCTATTTAGATTCCTTCACCACCGAGAGGATGTATGCAAAAAATCTAACAAACCCGTTCCGGAAACCTCTCAAATAGATTACTCCTATGCCTCTATGTTCGGCGCCGTCGCGCTTTCTGGTGTGGAGTGATCGAGCTTTGAAAATCGGCCAAGGGGGTTTGGAAATGTGTATACTTGCATGTAACCTTGGGTATGTGTATGTCGTTGGTCTGAGAGGCGAGACAACCTTTGGGGCTGAGACCCCACGCCCTTGCCAATTCGACATTGAGAAGAGAACGGCGGCACCTCTTGCTGCATGATGGGACAAGTGGATTGCTGTTGCATTGCTGTTGCGTTTTTGCGACATCAAAATCAACTAAATAAATAATAATAGAAGTACTTTTCTCTCCGTCAAGGCGAGGTCATGCCACGCGGCGGTGTGTGTCAACGTTAACGTCTGCACACAAACGTACGGAACGTGTCTTCTTTACTCGTCTTGCCAATACCTCTCAGTATATGTCCGTTTCCCCCTACCCCTCGCTATCTCTAAGGGAACCAGCTCTACTTGGCATCATGACATCGTACTGAGATATTATTGATGGCGTATTGTATGCTGTCCGAACAGCAGCGACGCAGCGATCGGCGCATTGCCGTCTCATGGTCCGGTTGGATCCAAAGCCAGCTACTGCTGTATGATGAAACGACATACTATGTGCTATCACAATTCCTAGAACGCAATGTTGGTTTGCTTTGGACTTTCTCGTGCCTGCTCTTTGTCCCAAAAGGTCTAAAGGAGCCGTAACTTCCGGGTGATTCCAACTGTTTCTGCTTGCCGGCACCACTTTTGCGCTGTACACTCAAAAAATCGTTTCGCGCTCCCTCCCACCTATATAGATCTTGGTTCTTGCTTCATCATCGAAACGAAAGAAGTCGAACCTGCAGCGAGTGCCGCAGAGGACATCCGCACCATAAAACCCATCCACACTTGTTCTAGTTGTCAACTTGGACCGCCTTCGCGAGAAATAAAGTACACATGGAAATAGAACCCGGAGGGGTTACGCAGACCCAATTCCCCAAAACCCAAACACATCTTCCCCCATTGCATTTTTTATCCAACATGTCCACTTGAACAATTACAACTTGCGAAGGCCACTGATCCATTACACCTTCCCTCGCCCGTGCTTCGCCTTTCTTGCCGTCTCCGTCGCCTACCCCTACCCCTGCTGTTTTCTCCTGCTTTGGTTCCTTCATCGCTTGTTGCAGCTGCGGTGGCGCGCAAGGTGTACCTTCGCCCCGGGCGCGGCGTCGGCGGTCTGAGCAAGGCGTTCGGGACCAAGGCACGCCGGGGGACCATGACCAACACGCACAAGCCGGCGGCAACGGGCATCATCCGCCACGTGCTCCAGCAGCTCGAGGCACTCAAGGTGAGAGCTCGGGAAAAGAGGAAAGAAAAACGCGTCTTGCCAAAGAAAAGTGATACTGTAGCCCCCAACAATTACTTCTTCGCACCACCTTGCATTTGAGTTGTTCGTCTTACTCCAACTTTGTGCTGCGTTTTTTTGCTAAACAAGTTGTTGGGGTTGCACGCCTGCAGTTTTCTGTTGGTGATGCCTCTGTCGCTGTGTTACTCGTTTTTCCCCAGGATTGAAGCCCTGCCGTGGTTTGGTTCTTCTTTGCAAGTGTTGGTTTTTTTCGGGTTTGGTTTGTGCGCAGAGAGGAGAGAGAAAGAAGGTGCTGTGAAGAAGTTTCTATTTGTTATGATAATCAAATGATTATGAAACAAGAACCTCCTACTCATTCTGAGCGCCCTTTTCCTCTGTTCTCGGATGCAATATCGTACTTCAGTAGCAGCACATTCGCCTGTGCCGCGTGCTCACCGCTAGTGTCAGTCCTCCCTGAGGGGGCCTATCACGGGCGTCAGGCCTACGATTAGTTTTGGAAGGGCTATAGGAAGCCATACGGCGAGGGAGTACCCACACCCAAGGATGTGTGCGTGTTTCTGAATCGTCTGCACGCCCATGCTCTCGCCAGACCACTTCAAGTAATGTGATAATGATGATGTCCTGGCATATCTGCATCTGCTCCGCTACATGCATCTGGTTGCCTGCATCTATCTGTTGTTGTTTGTACTGAAGGCACCGACACTGATGGTGCGACATGATCATGGAGCATGTTGAGACAAAGTAACCCGCACTCGTTCTTGCTATAAAAGACACGGTTGATTATTTGCTGCCGCGGTGAGGACATCCTGCTCTGGTGTCCCTTTCCTTGGTTGAGACCAGTACAACATTTTGAAAGCGTGCGGCCCTCTCAAGTGTCGGCAGGAGCTGCAGTTGAAGGCATCGGCATGCATGGAACCCTCGCAGCCCTGCAGAAACTTGATTCTGCTCAACAGAATGATCTTGTTCGGGATGGCAAAGCAGACGCCTGCTCCACCATTCCGAAGAAGATGGTTATGTTGGGGAGAATCAAGATTCTGCCCATGTTGCCGATGCTGCTTGCACCTTGATGCCTCTGACTGCCGCTGCGGCAGATTCTGCTGCTGCTGTTGCTGTTGCTGCTGCTGGAGGCGCTCTTTTGTGGATCCCGTGCATTAACACACATATTCGCGGACTTCACCTGCAATTATGCCCTAGAACCGCTGTCCCGGTACATGGAAAGTTTGACGTGTTTATTGGCTTGGGCATCAAGCGTCGTGGCAGGAGGGGGTGGGACTAGATGATTCCTTTCAATTTCTTGAATTTTTTCGCGTGCTGCGTGGATGGCGTGGACCTCGACGGAACACCGTATTCCCCACGTTCCCCACGTTGGTGAAGTGTGACCCCGCCCCCCCCCCCCTCACACACACATTACGTATTCCCCCCTCGACAAAAATCGAACGGTCCCCGCGTTCCTTTTTTTGACGTCCCCCCCGGGCGGGTTCAATGCGGCATAACATGATAGAACAAATTCCGTACATGTTTGTGGCGTGAGTCCGACGTGTTGCTCGACGCCATCTTATGTGTTGCCTGCCCGTTTGTTTGCTTTTCTCGTGGTGTTAAAATAGGCGTTTGACCGTGCAGACACGGGTTTGGAGTGTGGTCCTCGTACACTGATTGGTGAATCTCAGCAAGTTTAAACCGCCCTACACGTGGCGTGAAAGGGAAAGGGAAAGAACGACCTTCTTGCGAGCGGCAGAGTTCATGGCAAAAAATGACGAACAGTAGGTGCTTTGCGTTTTCTTTTTGCTCGAGTTAGGGTGCTGTGAAGAAGTTTCTATTTCTATGACAAAGAAGGATTATGAAACAAGAACCTCCTACTCATTCTGAGCACCATGTTTTTGCGCGAAAGTGAAAGAGAAAGGCCTTGGTGCGCGCGGCAGAGTTGATGGCAAAAACCGATAAACAGCAGTAGTTGGTTCGCGTTTCTTTTTGCTCGAGTTAGGGTGCTGTGAAGAAGTTTCTATTTCTATGACAAAAGAAGGATTATGAAACAAGAACCTCCTACTCATTCTGAGCACCATGTATTTGCGCGAAAGGGAAAGGGAAAGGCCTTGGTGCGCGCGGCAGAGTTGATGCCAAAAATCGATAAACAGCAGTAGTTGGTTCGCGTTTCTTTTTGCTCGAGTTAGGGTGCTGTGAAGAAGTTTCTATTTCTATGACCAAAAAGGATTATGAAACAAGAACCTCCTACTCATTCTGAGCACCACATTCTCGGCACGACGTCCTAGTTTCCTACGGAAGGGGCTATGGCCCGACCTAGTGTTGAAAACCGTACGGGGCAGTTTGTTTTGAAGCGGCGTTCGTCGGGACCCGATGCTTTCCCATCCGATGTTGAAATGTCGCACATTTTTGCGAGCTGTCCCCCCCCCCCCCCTCTCAGCCCGAATTTGTTTGCCATCAAGTGTTGCGGTGATTCCTCGTTGCCTCCCATCGGCCTTGCTTCTTGATCGGGCTGCGCCTGTAGGAACCGTTGTCGTTGCGAAGCTTCCATGGGGCGAATGCCGTGTAGGTCCATACAGGCATGAAACGACCCGAGCAGTTCGCGTCGCCCCTACCCCCAAGTAGGTGGCCCACCCTGGGCCACGCGACCGTTTTTCCTCTCTCGACTAAATGATGCTGGAATTGGCACTGGTTCAGATGTGTCGTATGCGTACCACACAGGTTGCATGAAAGTACCGACAGTATCCGGTCTGTTTGCAACGGGATCGGTGGGGTGCCGTGAAGAAATTTCTATTTGTTCTGAACCACAAGGATTATAAAAGTGTACTCATTCTGAGCGCCCCGCCGTGCCAAACTCTTGTAAGCAGTATGCATTGCCTCTTCAGCCTTCGCCGGCGCTTCTACACACGATATCGAAATCGTTTTTTGTTCTGTTTTTTCCCCCCTAAAACACTTACCGCTTCCCCGGTGCAATCTACTATCAACGAGTCTGGGAATTTGTTGTAAAGGGTCGCAAATTATTTTCGTCCTTGTCGGAACAGGGTGATGAAGTCCGTTCCTTCGTGCTACCCCTTGTCGCTTTAGACAGTGTTTGAACTGCTGTTGGCTGCAAGGATTGTGTGTTTCGTTGTAACCTACAATGTCTGCCCTGCTTTTGCGCCACCCCCCGCCCGTCCACACCTCAGGTGGTGGAGAAGATGGAGAACGGAGGGAGGACTGTAACCCGCGTGGGACAGCAGGACCTTGACCGCATCGCCGGCGCGGTCGTACGTGGAGACGACTAAACCTGCCGTTGCTCTTCTGACGATATTGAGGGCTACGCGAATGCGTAGCGAGTTGACAAACCAAGCGCTAACCAAACCTGGCCGGTCTGTAGGACTAGAGAGGAGACGCGGGACGGTTTAGGTGGGCTGGTAGCTTCGATGAGCTTTTCCCTCGTTATGGTGCTACGGGCAACTCAATAAAAACTGGCTGAGACTCTAGGGACTCCGACTCGATCGATCTTGTGATTGCTGCTTCTTCATGTGTGGATGTGATATTGGCCCCTTGTGCGACGTGCTGCTTGGTGAGGCGCTTGCGCGGTGCTGCGGCGGTTGATGCATGCGGTGGCTGCTGTCTTGTTCCTACCCACATGCATGAGTCAGGGCCAAAAAGCCAAGGCCAAGGAGCTAGCCGCGATACTGCTGTGTTGTGCGGGTGTGTGTGAGTTCCCTCTCTCTTACCCGATACAAAACTCACCTCACAGCATCGGGTTGCGTCACCTGCTGCTACGTCGGCGCTCGGTTCCGTGGCATGCCGATGACAGTGACTAATCCCGATAGTGATGCTTGGACTGGGCAGAATTTATCCAGACAACCGCGCTCAGGCTTCAATTCAACACAACGGCAAAGCCATGATTGCGACACTTTCCCCCAAGCTCTTCGGAAAGCACGACTCAACACTGCAGGGAAAGGCACGTATTTTCCGAACATGCTCTCCTATGTAAGCGCCCCTTTCCCTACCAAAAGCAGTCGCTGATGGGTTTACTTCGAAATTTCGCTGCTTACCGGCCTACGCCGAATTTCCCACAGCTCCATTGCGTTGCTCCGTTCATACCGAAAACACTGTTGGAAAGACAGGGGAAGTCTTCTGCCCTCGAACGCTTTCTTGGCGCTCTTCAGTCCCTGCTGTGTACAGCCGTCTACCCCAGTACCCACCCCGTCGTTCTCCGTCACATCTACAACGTTCCTCAAGAGAGCGCTGTAACCCGTTGCTGCTACTGACAACTCGGCTACGGAAAAATTGAAGCGTTTCTCGAGAGCGAGGTAGAGCACTGCATTTGTCCCAAGGGGATGACAATCGTGATCATCGACGGGTTTGCTGACAGGTACGTAGGTAACGGCCGAATCTTCGCAAGATGGAGTGGGTGTGGTTGATGGTGTCGTCTGATGGGGCAGTGGTTTAGTGGCGTTGTCCGCGGTGCTCGAGACTTTACTGTCGCAGTTTCTGTCTTCTTTGCCAAGACCTCTTGCGCGCAAGGACGGCACCGGCATGAGCAACGTAAGTGCTTGGAAAAGTGCGTCCGTCAGACCCTCGTCGTAGATGACGTCAGCAGCGACAATCACAGGCCCACCGCGCTTGGAATCCGAAATCAGGGACAGCCCGTCCAGCTCGCCCTTCCTCCACGAAAACGGACCGCAAGTGCCAGTGCCAGTGGTGCGGTCATCATTGGTGTTGTTCTGCACGTCTCCCATCCCGGCGCAGTCTGCCTCGCTCGGAAAAGCCGGGCTCTGCGCCTAACAAACAAACATGAGTGCGACCGTGACACAGCAGGCAGGGGGGTGTACCACGAGTCACAAACAGGTGCCCTGTCTGTATATCCTTTACATACATCCCGTTGCCAGCGCTTTCCCTGTAACACGAAGTGAGACAGCCACGTGGTGCAGCGGTCGAACAGCCCTCGCTTATCCCATGCCCGATTACCGTTGGTAGCGACAAACATGTTGGGCCTTCCACCACACGACAGCCTTCCGTCGGGTCCTTGTGGGGCACTGATATGACGATGGAAAGATTTAAGAAACCGCCAGGAGACTCGCTGTTAATCTGGACAACTGGCGCGCATCCAAAGGACGCACAAGTGCCACCACACCCGACACCATCTCCCAAAGTTAGCCGCAACTGAAGGCCATTTCTCTGACCTGGTCCTCCTCCAAAGAATCACAAGTAGTGACGTCAAGAGAATCCTGTTCCTTGGAAAAAGTGAACCAATCCAGCTTCCGCACCGCCGCCACGCAATCCCCTGACCGAGCTCTTCCTCCATCGCTGCTACGAACACCGCTGCACAAAGTGCCGCTTTCGACCTGGACATCGCTGTCGCCACCACCGGCAGCTCTCGGAGCGGCGGCGTCGTCGTCATGGGTTGCCGATGGCTCAAGGGCAAAAAGGTGTCTGTTTGCCTCTACGTTGCGATCGAGAAGCTTGAGCACCTATCATACCACACGTCATAAGAACGAGCAGGGGGGCGATGCACAAGCACGACCGAGGCGAACACGAGACGTTAAGTTAGCCTGAATCACTTTTCGTGTGTTTCTCGTAATACTTGGGGGCGCGGAGTGCTGGCGACGGATGGTGTCTCTCACAGCAGTTCAGCCAATGACATCGTACGACAAAACCGCTCCAAAACAGTTAATTCTCAACGCAGCGCCCGGCAAAAAGCGGCAACACACCTCATCGTGGTAGTCCGTCAGATAGCATCGCCGAGCGACCCGAGCTGCGATCAAACCGACTACTCCCGGACCGGCGCCAAGGTCGAGCACCTTAAGGATAGGATTAAAACAGTAGAAGCAGCATCATAGGAGTGGAACGGTAAGGCGAGTCGACAACACGTTGTTCAAACGACAACATGAAAGGAAAATGGGAGTAGGATGGTGATGCCAAATGAGATTGTTGGCTGCCGTTGGTTGGGATATCCGAGGAAAGTCGTTGGTCATGCCCGTCCACAAAAGTTGAGTTCATCAGCAATATACTTTTGGTGTGCCCGGGTTCTCTGTTGATTCCAAAATCTATCATCTACCCCAAAGAGTTTGTAATTTTTAATAGTACTTGAGACCCTTCTTTATGGAAACATAATCTTGCAATTATATCTTGGCAGATTTGCTCACAACATATCTCCGCCAAGATTTGCAGTATCGCGATTTATGGGGGAAATATCTTGAATGTTGAAAATGCGGCGTGTTGTTCCTCTCTTCTGCTTGAAGTTGAAAAAGGCACAACGGCCACTTGGTCCACAGAAAATACCAAGGTGTGGCGAAAAGTGAGCATGACGCAGTTGTAAAAGGGGCATCGCTCCCCCAGCTGTATTGCCTCAACACTGTGGGTGGATACTAGCGATGGGCGCCTACCTGGGGTGGAAAATTGAATCCGTTGCCCACGAACTCATGTCAAGCGGAGAAACAAAACTGTTCCATTGCTGTCCAACTGACAAGAAAGTGCATCAACCCGAGGCCGATGACACCCATGCACGTATCTCATGATGTAGCAGGCGTACCGAGGTCAAACCTCCGGCGCTGTCATCTGCACCCACGGATTTGGCTCGGGTGCAAACGGATTGGGTGTGGGGCGATTCGATGAAGAGATAGAAGCGTCGCACACGACAGAGCAGTGTTGGCAAAACGTTCCTCCTGCTCTATTTTTCTACTTCAAAATAAAGTACTCTTTGAACGGTCCCTCCACAGACTGGTGATGACGCACGTGGAACGAGTCAGGGCAAATACGCATTTTTTTCGCGCGCCTTGGTTGTTTTCGTTCGCTGTCGGCGCCCGTGGCGCCGACACAGTGACGCCAGGGTGCGTTAGAGACCCTTGCGAGTGTGCGACGTGCAGATTTCATGGCGTTATGGACGATTAGGTTGACTGACCTTCGGTGATCGCGCCGCACTGAGGCAAGATTTGTTACGCCGCCTCAAGATTTGTCGGAAGGCTCGACTTGACAAATCTTGGGTCAAGATTTGTTCGAAAGGGCAGATTTCGGGCCTCGAGAAATCTTGGCCAAGATATATCGAAAGATTTTGTTCCCATAAATCGTGAAACTGACAGATCTTGGCCAAGATCAAGATTTATCGACAAGATTTTGTTCCCATAAATCGGGGTCTGAATCGTCCCTTTTAGTACTGGACCCCCACAGGAGGACACTTTTGGGGATACAAAACTTAACGTCTGTTCGCCGCACCGTAGTTGTCGTCACTACAGTAGGCTCCACGGTATGAAAAGCACGTGGGAAACCTTGGCCTGTATCATGATTGTGTGAGGTGGTATGTTGTGTGATACAAGGTGTGATGGCTCTCCACGGCCTCTGACTTGCTGTTCACATATCTCCCAAGTCGCGTGTCCCCTTTCGTAAAAATCTGTGTAGCCTACCAGCAGGAAAATTTGCTGACTTGGCTACAGCATATAAGAAAGTGTCCCCAGTGCAATTCGGGACACTTTTCTGTCTAAAACCAAGGCAACCCTCGTCCCTGTGGATTGTACACGAGCGCACGCGATTTTTTCTGGGCCAATAAGCTGTAACTACAATGTACCTGCATGCCCACGAACAGCTCGTTGTGGGTCAGCACGAAGTCGCCGAGCAGGAAGGACGCTGACCAGACCTGCTGCCCGACCAATCCTAACGTCGTCGCCATCTTGTGCACAATGGTCAGCACCTCGTGAGATGGCCTGCAGCAGCGCTGGGCTACCTCGTGCCGAGGGCGCTTGCGATGTCTCGCGACCCTAGGCCTCGTCTGTTCCTCGCTGTCGCTGCCGCTGTCGCTGCCGCTATCCTCGTTGTCGTCAGATGTCGGCGTGAGGTAGGCGTACCGCGATACCACCTCAGCTTCTTCATGTAGACCGCTGCTTCCAACGTGCACCTCTGACAAAACGAGGCGCTCGGCCGGGGTGCCATCCTCACAGATCTTTTCCATCGCTGACGTAGAGGGCATAGCGGTACCAGTTACGAGTGCGGACTCGATAGCGCGAAGTCTCGTACACACTCCGCTTGCTCGTGTACTCAAAACAATAGAGCCAGCCTTACTCAGCGTAGGCGAGCTTTTCGCACGCTCTTGCGAGAAAGCGCACGCCACGGTGTAGGCAAGACTTCTGTTTTGCTGACTGCCGTTGATGGTTCCAGCTTATGAATTTTATGTCCAACAACCGCTTGTCGGGTATGTCGTCTTGGCGGCTCCGCTGAGGTGCGCACAAGAGGGCGAGAGATGAGAGACCGCGCCAGGCGGCAGGGTTGCTCGCATCTCCGGAGATAGGGGCTCCGTGTATGTTTATTTCCACGAGTACACGTGGACCTGTGGCTGCCCCACCACGCCAACCAAACAAAAAACTATGCGGCGACTCACCCACACGCACGACCGTGCTGCCGACAACCACACACGTGCGTGCTCGATGCGATAGGGCAATGAGGGCTCGGAGTCTGTTACTTTGTGCGGGAGCTCCTCTGTGTGGGCTTGCACAGGGGATTTTGCCTCCGGGTGGTAGAGGCAACCCAGCCTACCCCACAAAGGCAGGATCGAAAAGAACAAAGGGCAGCACCCAGCAACACGCCAGCAGCAGCAGAAGCAGCAGATCTCACGCCCAGCCCCGAGGGCTTCAGCTGCACCTGAAGGATGACTCTGGGGAGGAGCCCATGGCGCGTTCTGACGTAGCATACGCGGCGCTGTTGATGGACGACCACGATCGAGGGATTCGAACGCTTGGTCAGTCTCTCATCGACTCGCGCACCTCGGCGGACCTGGTGGCTATTCTAGGCGCTGGGGTGACCAAGGTGACCGAGACAAGGATGCGCGCTCAGGGCTGGAGAATACGAAGGCTCGCCGCGGGCGGCGTTGACGGTGATGGGGGGGGTGTACATAAACTGGACAGTGCCAGCGAGTCGGTGAGTCGAGCGTACAAAGTATTGCGTGTTTGCCATTGATGAGTACCGAGTGCGTTTCCCGAAGACTCTTTGCCGTAAACCATCCAATCCAACCCAACCCAACAGCGGTGCCGGTCACGTGTTGGCGCGGGCGCTGTAACGTGCTCTTACAGCAGTGGAACAAGACGCTTGCCGCGTGCAGACCGTTGCGAAGTTCGCCCCTGTACACGACGTGGCGGGGTACCCATAACGACGTTCTCTCTCATGCATATGGTGCTTTGTATTTTTATTTGTAGCGCAATTTGGAATACTCAAGGTTTTGTTTGTCATTTCTTACGGACGCACTTCCCAGGTGTCCACCAGCACCTACCTGGTCCACCTCCCCCCTGAGCTTGAGAACGGATAAAACCGGCTTTGGTACCAGCAGCATAGCATCAGGCAGGCGAATTCGCATGCGATTTGAGCGTCTTACTTTCTCCCGAGGCTTTTGTTTTTGGTCTCGACGCAATAGAAAACGCGTTGTGTTGTCCCGTGGTCTCGGCCTAACAGCAGTGCCGTTCCTGAGTCGCCCACAATTCCTGTGTTGGTGGTGCCGCGAAGACAACATGCAAAGAGGGATAATTGAGGCGCCGTCGCGATATCGCGAAATCACAATTTACACAAGGAAGTATTAGCAAATCGGACGACTTGAACGATTTTCCCGGTCTCAATAGAGGCAGGTCTCCGGGCGTTGAATCGCGTATTTTTTATCCAGTTTTTTATGGTACCATAGCGTTGAAACATACGTTCCACGGGACACGGCGCGGGCTTCCGTAAATGCGTGCAGCGACACGCGATCATCGTCGGCCATGTCACTGCTATCGCCCTATCCTCGTCCCGATGGGCTCTTGCCAGCCTCTCCCCCTGGTCTTGTCTTGTGTGGCCGTTTAGGTAGTCAAACGCTGTCCGTCTTCGAAGTGTAGCGCGGACTCGATGTGGGTGTACCGCACGTGAGTGAACCTCCTGTTTGCTGTGTGTGCCCCTTGATACCGCTATCTGGATAACATGGTGTTGATCAGCTTTGCCACACACATTCCTCGGGACCCAACAGATCCGATCCAAAGCTGGAAATATTGCTGGGAAACTCCTCTAGGATGCATGAGCAGCGGTATGTTATCGTTCAAACGGGCAACGAGTGGGCTCCAGGGGCCTGCGGTGCCGCCCCTTTGCAACCAGCCCTACTGGAAACAATACCTAGGGCACCGTCACAGAGTGAATTCCTTATTCAAGCAGCGTAGGTTAAATCGGAGCACGGGCTTTGCATGTAGAAGTGTCCTGGGTACGCCACGAATATATGACAGAACATATTGGTCTCCGTGGAGTGGACCTTCCCGCCTTCATTCCCACCACAGAATCTCCACACCTGGAAAACAGGAGTCGGCGCCGAAAGCCGACTACTTGCGTTGTAGCGTTGGAATCTTCTCATCGAGGATTTCCCGAAAACTGAGTCACCGATCGATATTTTGGGATCTTTGCCATCCTCTTCTGTGTTGAGCTATCAAGCAGGCCAGGTTTTCTCTGCTGTATTTCTTCCTTTTTTCGTCGCAAGGGTGCGCGGTATTACCCTCTAGATCCGCTAGACTAGCCCGCCGATTCTGTACACGCCATGCGGTTGTCTGCATCATGTCTGTCTACTTGACCCGGCTATGTTAATTTATTTGCCTTTACTGACCAAGCCTTGTTCTCCAACGCGTTGGTTGTTTTCCCTTGCAGGTGCTGGCGCATGCTTCCGTATGGGCGTTGACCGATTACAAGCGGGTGGTGTTGCTGTCGGACAACATGCTCGTGGTGGAGAACATCGACGACCTTTTCCTGTGCGAGGGGATTTGCGCAGGTTGGCGTCGTTTTCGTTTTTGCTAGCTAACACGGTCTGCCCACACGTGAGATGCGCAGAGCATGGTGATAAAATAACAACGTTTGTATCATTGGACCTATGTACACGCAATACATGGCCCCGAGAGTGCGTCTGCATCCCCGCTCGCCATTTTTTTATTCCTCCGAATGACGAAAACAATATTGTTTCGCCGACGACTAGAGCCTATCAAATGGCCTTGTCTCTGTGAGGCCCAAGTTTGTATTCTCCGACGGATGAAGTTTAGGCTGTAGCAGCATTTCACAAAACAGTGCTCGCGTTGCAAACAAACACTTCACGGGCATTGCGCACAGCAGAGTAGCGGCATTTGCCAATTTTAGCGTGGGAGATGCGGCGTGAAATGTTGTCTGACTGCCGTTGCAATGGAGAAGTGGTGCGCTGCTGCGGGGCGATACGAATGGGGTAGTATTTCAAAGAGAGCGATATCCGGATGACGAAACTTTGTAAAATTTGCCGATGTCGACCTGGGTTTGTTTTTCAAGCCTCTGGTCATCTGTGAGGCTTATGATTTCTGTTCTCCGACGGATGAGGTTGGCTGCTGCTTTGTGTTGTGCTCTTCTACTCTTGACACGTTGTTATAGGCAACCCATCTCGTCGCTTTGTCTCGAAGCATGGCCAACGCAAATCGTGGGCTACCCAACGCGTGTGGGTAGTTGCAAACCTCCCAGCCCACGACAACGCGTGTCGTAGTTTATTTTGTTGTCCAATCCCGCATCACGTTAATTTGTCTGCAGTGAGTCTAGCCAGACCCACGTACAGACTAGTGGTGAATCCGTATATTCTTGTCCTTCTCGACGGAACTGGCTTAGCCTAACCAACAATCCGTCGCATCGAAAGACGAAAAAATTAAGGGTACTGGCAAACACCGTGAATGGTGGTGTCGGGTTTGACCACACTTTTTTCAGCACTTGTACTGCTGTAGCAGTACCGCGGTAAACTGAGTTAGCGTTGTGCTCTTGTGTGCAAGAACAGCAGCACACCCCGGGGTAGAGGTGTATTTTTGGGCGAAACTGGGTATCTCCGAATGACGAAATGTTTAATAACTACGCCGATGCCAGCTGGAGGCTTCTCTTCTTGAGACTTACTTCTGTGTGACCGGTGAGGCATACGATTTCTGTTCTCCGACGGATTGACGCATTTCTCTCTTGTATATGTCTGCTCATGTTGATCGCACAGTACGCTGCCGCGCGAAAGCATTGATTTACTATAGTACCCGTATTTTTTCTGTGAATTCCACAGTAACTACCGTCATGAGTTGGATTACCCACCTCATGCTCGATATCTATATGTGAAAAATGATGCGCGCTTGCTAATATCAAAGCCTTTTTGCCGGCACGCACGACACTACTGTCTGATGAACGTGAAAAAGTACGTGTTCGTGTCGCTGCCCCATCCTCCCCCGCTAACCCCGGAATCCGCCATTTGCGTGGCCCCATACCCACCCGATCCCGAAACGCAGCGATGCAACAGGCGGAGGTAGTGAGCACGTCGCTCATCGTGCTGGAGCCCGACCTGGACATCTACCAGCACATGTCAAGATCTGTCGGCACCATCTACAAGTGCGTATGTGCGGTAGTACCATAGTACCATGGTATCTCGCAATCCGGGGAGCGGAAGAGGAAAAACGAAAGAAACGGGGACGTTTTCATTGTCCCATTGATCTCTCATCGTTGTCCTCCTATGCGGAAGTCGCAGACTTGTTGTAGATAGAGGTAACCGTTGATGTTTTTGAGTTGTTTTTATGTTGGTCGTGACGTCATCGGCACTACTTGTTCGTGTTGAGTCCCATGCTTGCGTTAGTTCCCATGGGGTTCGGTCGGATCTCGTGATACGGAAGGGTACTCGGGAAGCTAGACTCGCAGCCTACGAGAGAACACGAGCGAGACCTTTTGTCGATTCATTGCGATATTTACCTGCACAACTGCCGTACTATTTAGATGTCGAGCTGAGCGCTTGTTCTGTCCCACAGCATATCGCATGCCACTCGCTCAAAGGAGAGGTTAGCGGCACGCACCCTCCTTTCATGTGAAGTTCTCTAAATCACAGGCACACGCACATTTTCTACCACGCTTTGAGTGTCATTTCACGGAATCGTGATCGCCTTCTGATGCCTCCTCTGGTGGTGCCTCTTCTGATTGAAACCATTTTGTCGCCGATGAAACCGTTTTGTTTGTCGCCGTGTTTTTCCTGTCTTGTTGTGGTCCGCTGCAGCTTCTCGAACAACTTTCAGGGTTTCCTGAATACCTACCTGGCGGGATTCGAGACGTGCGCGTTTTTCGACCTCGAGAACCCCTGCTTACAGGTAGAGTACCGGTGCTTCCAGGTGGATGAACACCGTCGCCAGCCTTACTTATTGTTTTGCTGGTCGTTGGAGGAGTGACGCGTTGATCTCCAGAAACGCCCAGCAATGTGCAGAGCACTCAAAACTCCTGTCCAACTCTGTTTCCCTACCCACTACCCCTCGTCCCTCTCTCTCTCTCACTTGTACCCCCCCCCCCCCCCCCCCCCCCCCCCC